GGGGGGGGGCTTCGGAGGCTACCCCCCCCCTCCCTTTTCGTGGCCGGAAAGGGGGGGGGGCTTCCAAGCTCCCCCCCCCCTCCCTCCTTTTAATGGAGCTGGGGTGAGCCACCCCCCCCCTTTGAAAGGGGGGGGGGCTTTGGAAACTCCCCCCCTCTCCCTCCCTTGGTGCAAAAGGGGGGGGGGGCTTGAAGCCCCCCCCCCCTTCCCCCCTTTGGCCGCCCAGCTCCCGGAGCCATCGCCCTCCCTTTCGCGTCCATTTATTCCCGCCCCTCTCCCTCCTCCTCTTCTTCCTTTTGCCTCCTCCTCTTCCTCGGTCTCCTCATCCTCCTCATAGTCATCATCGTCATCATCATCATCATCATCATCATCATCATCATCATCATCATCATCATCATCATCATCATCATCATCATCATCATCATCATCATCATCGTACTCCCCCGCGGGTCCTTCCGTTCCGTTCCTCCTCCTCCTCCTCGGTTTTCTCCTCTTCTTCCATTTTTCCCTCCTCCTCCTCCTCGTCATCATCATCATCATCATCATCATCATCATCATCATCATCATCACCATCATCATCATCGTCATCATCCTCTTCCTCCTCCTCCTCCTCCTCCTCCTCGTGATCCTCCTCCTCCGTTTCCCCATCCTCCTCTTCCCCTCCTCCCTCCTCTCCTCCTCCTCTCCTCTCCTCCTACTCATCTCCTCCCTCCTCCTACTTCCTCCTCCTCCTCCTCCTCCTCCTCCTCCTCCTCCTCCTCCTCCTCCTCCTCCTCCTCCTCCTCCTCCTCCTCCGCCTCCCCCATCCTCCGCCTCCTCCTCCCCCAGCTGGCCGCCGTCTTACACGAACACTGCCAAACCCGACGGGCTGGCGTTTTCCGAATTACACTTCGTGCAACTTTCGGGGGGGATCGTATTTTTCCCAACCCTCCTTGGTTGGGTATTCGTTTTGAATAGAGCAGTGTGGTCTCCACTTCCTCCTTCCCGTCCCGTCTCCCTCTTGCCTCCTCTTGTCTTGCTTGCGGGGGGCTGCGATCTGTGAAACTGTCGCCACTTTCGAGGCTTGCTGGGGGGCCCAGCGCAGTGACACCACGGGCGGACCCAAATTAGACCTCGCCATCCCTGGGGGGCTGCGATCTGTGAAACTGTCGCCACTTTCGAGGCCTGCTGGGGGGCCCAGCACAGTGACGCCACGGGCGGACCCAAATTTGACCTCGCCATCCCTGGGGGGCTGCGATCTGTGAAACTGTCGCCACTTTCGAGGCCTGCTGGGGGGCCCAGCACAGTGACGCCACGGGCGGACCCAACATAGACCTCGCCATCCCTGGGGGGCTGCGATCTGTGAAACTGTCGCCACTTTCGAGGCCTGCTGGGGGGCCCAGCACAGTGACGCCACGGGCAGACCCAAATTAGACCTCGCCATCCCTGGGGGGCTGCGATGTGTGAAACTGTCGCCACTTTCGAGGCCTGCTGGGGGGCCCAGCACAGTGACGCCACGCGCGGACCCAAATTAGACCTCGCCATCCCTGGGGGGCTGCGATCTGTGAAACTGTCGCCACTTTCGAGGCCTGCTGGGGGGCCAAGCACAGTGACGCCACGGGCGGACCCAAATTAGACCTCGCCATCCCTGGGGGGCTGCGATCTGTGAAACTGTCGCCACTTTCGAGGCCTGCTGGGGGGCCCAGCACAGTGACGCCACGCGCGGACCCAACTTAGACCTCGCCATCCCTGGGGGGCTGCGATCTGTGAAACTGTCGCCACTTTCGAGGCCTGCTGGGGGGCCCAGCACAGTGACGCCACGCGCGGACCCAAAATAGACCTCGCCATCCCTGGGGGGCTGCGATCTGAGATCCCCGCTTTCGAAGTGGCTAGGGTTGCTCAGGGATTGCACCTAATCAGCTTTATCTAGTCCTTGTCCTGAAGCAAGTTTCCTGCGAGTCTCCCGAATTCCGTCTGCAGACATATGTAACCCTCGCTCCGTCATCCCCCCCTTTTATAAAGTGTCCTAAACTATTTGCGCCCCGCGTTTGCGCAGGGGTTGGGTACGTCGCCAGTGTAATTTTTCGTTCCCGGCGTTGGCACGGGACGAGTTGAATGATACACTTGCGTTGCAAGCGATTGCAATCCATTGGATTGCAAACGATTCGATTGCAATCCATTGGATTGCAATCGATTGGATTGCAATCGGTTGAATTGCAATCGATTCAATCGATTGGACTGCAGGGAAGGGACAGGACGGAAGGGAGGGAGGGGAGGAGAGGGAGGGGAGGGAGGAGATGGAACGAAGGGTGTGGAGGGAGGGGAGGGAGCGGAGGGAGGTGGGGAGGGGGATTGCAGTGGAATGGAGTGCAATCGATTGCAAGCGATTCGATTGGGATTTTCGATCGTCGATCGTTGATCGTCGATCGTCCATCCTCGATCGTGGATTGTTCATTTTGGATCGTCGGCGAAAGGGAGGGCGGAGGCTCCGGGGGCTGGGCGGCCAAAGGGGGCAAGGGGGGGGGGCAAGCTTCCAAGCCCCCCCCCCCTTTGGCACAAAGGGGGGGAGGGGGGTGGGAGCTTCCAGCAGGGCGGCTCCAAGGGAGGGGGGCGGTAGCTTAAGCACCCCCCCGGGGGTAGGGGGGGGTAGCTTCCGGGGCGGCCAAAGGGGGGTGGGGGGTGGGTAGCTTCCAAGCCCCCCTCCCCCTTTGCACGAAAGGGGGGGAGGGGGGGAGGTAGCTTCCAGCAGGGCGGCGCCAAGGGAGGGGGGGGTGGCTTAAGCACCCCCCCCCCTTTGGGAGGATGGGAGGGGAGGGGGGGGGGGAGTTTCCGGGGAGGGCCCAAGGGGGGAGGGGGGGGGTCGCTGTAAGCCCCCCCCCTTGCAAAAAAAAGGGGGGGAGGGGGGGGGGCTTCCAACAAGGGCGGCTCAAGGGAGGGGGGGGTAGCTTAAGCCTAGCCCCCCCTCCCCTTTGCTCGGGCCCTGCGGGCGCGCTCTCTCTCATGTTCACATCAGATCATCACCATACCATGGTCATCATCATGACATTCATCATCATCGTCTAGTGCAGAGAGGGAGGAGGGAGGGGAGGGATGATGATGAGGGGTCCGGCGCGGTCAGAGAATAGCAAGAACCCAATCTTTTGGATATGGGGAATTAGACAAGAATGTGTAGTCGACGTGGAGATCCTCACATGTGCATCTCGTAGTTCCTGTCAGGTCTCATTGAGTAACTCTGTCTGAGAGCACCTGGGTGTGAGTGCGAGTCCTCGGAGATGAGAGGCGCGACAGCGATGACGATTGCGACGACATGCGTGACGTCTTCCCCTTCTGGACATATTGCAGGAGATATAAAAGAAGCACATGAGGAAGAGCGAAGTGGAATTCCTCTCGCCGCTCCCACTGCGGCAAGTCAAGCAAGCGCGCGTGGCGTTGCTGGACCCGCTTTCTGACGTGATACTCGCGGCGCTTGCTGGCACTTGGGGCACTCAAGTGCCACGCCAGATTTGGTGCGAGCGACTTTGAGCGTGAGTGGTATGATTGTGATCGAGTCGGAGTACGAGCGAATCTGGGTATGATTGGGTTTGAGTGCGAGCGAGTTTGAATGCGAGCAGTGAGTGCGAGTGGGTATGAGTGCGAATGGGTCCAAGTGTGAGTGTGATGGGTACGATTCTGGGCGTGAGTGAGTTTGAGTACGAGGTAGTCTGAATACGAGCGAGTCTGCTACTGGGCGAGTCTGAACCTGATTGCGTTCGAATGTGATTCAGTCAGTTCGTCTGGGTGTAATTTGCGTTTGCGTGAGTGCGAATATGAGCGAGCCTAAGGATGAGCGAATATGAATCTGAGTGTGTCTGAGCATGGGTGAGTCCGAATGTGATGATAGAGTCCGAATGAGGAAGAAGCACGGGCGAGCAAGTATGAGTGGGATTCGGTGCGCTCACTTTGAGGAGAAGGAGGAGGAGGAGGAGGGCGAGGAGGAGGAGGAGGGCGAGGAGGAGGAGGAGGAGGAGGTTCACGTGAGTGAGTGAGCGAGGAGCACACAACTCTAAAAAGATGTCTGGGGACGAAACAGGCAAACCGCTTGAGAAATCTCAGAATTGGGGCGCGACTCCTGGAGTGTCCCCATCCCTGGCCGCTCCCCCTTGGGGTGCCCGAGTGCCACGCGTTCCATATTGCGGTGAGCAGTGGACCACCAAAGAGAACATCGGGGGGGGCAGAAACACGCAAACCGCTTGAGACATCCCCACGATGTGGGCGCGAGCGGGCCCGTGAAATGCACCCTGGCGGTTCCCCCACAGTCTGTGCGCGAATGGGCGAGTGGCATACCCCCTGGCGGTTCCCCCTCGTGGTGCCCAAATGCAACCCCTGCTGCATCGCTGTGAGCAGTGGACCACCAAAAAGAGAAAAATCTAAGGGCTGAAAGGGGCAAACCGCCAGAGACGTCCACACAATCTGGGCGCGAGCGGTCCCGTGAAATACCCTTGGGCGGTTCCCTTCTTGGGTGCCCACATGCCACGCTTGCTAAATCGCTGTGAAAAGATATAAAAGTTTGCGGGGCAGTTACCTGTTAGGGACATTGAGTCTGTCATGGACCCCGTGAGGAAGAGTGAGTCCGTGATGGACCCCGTGCTTTGTGTCAGTTATTTGAGTAGGAGTATATAGGAAATATTAGAGTGAAACAGAGGATGAGGAAGAGAAGGAGGATGAAGGTCCAGTGGCGTCCTAGTAATAGCAAGAATCCCATTTTAGGGCACGGGGAATAGTACGATCGCAACCAAATACGTCGTCCCGAGCCAGCCAGCACGCGCCCGACATGAAGTTGATTAGCGCGAACGGAACCCATCACAGCCATCGCCCAGTTTAGACGCCCACCGCTTGCTTCGACCCCTATGTCTCGCAGCCATCGCGCTGCCGCTGCGGCCACCGCCCCGTGCTGACTGACGCACACACCCTCTGCGCCTCTGCGCCGCTGCTGGGACGCGATCTGTCGCTATGGCTCTGTGGGAGCACGTCCCACGCAGAGTGCGATGGGCAGCGCAGCTGCCGCGATGGGTGCTCGTGCCTTGGGCGCCTGGCTTCTCCCCGCCTGTTCCTCTTCCCCCGCTCCCAGTGCACGTGGGGCTGGTTTCGTCGCCTGCGGAGTGCCTACTTATAGCAACTTAGAGACTTGTGCGCTGTTTTGCTTCGCACCGCAGGCGGACGAACGGAGCAAGTGACCGTGGAAGCGGTGGAGTTCTTGAAGGGGCGAGCGAGGGGGGGGGGCAGACAGAGGATCGCGAAGCGCGCAGAGCACGCATTGACATGGAGCACTCCAGACGTACATGGCCTCGCCTGCGAGGGATCGAGAAGTTGCCTTCCTCTCTTCGGTGGAAGGCCCGCGAAATCAAAAAGGGGGTAGCTGCGCCCCTGGTGCCAACTGCTTGGGATGTGGAACATCTGGAGCGTGCCGCCCCACTCCTCGTGGGCGGACAAATCTCCGTATCCATGGCCTCGCGGGCCAGAACCCCTTGGCCGCGACCCCGCAGCCGTGCGATTGCGAATCCCCGGCCACGGGATCGCGCCCCAGAACCCAGACCGCGAGGGCGTGGGCAGGGATGGGTTCGCCGCTCGTGAGTCCCCCCCCACAGGAACTATCCCACGCTGGAGGAGCTGGCCAAGCTGGACGAGCTGCGCGAGGCGCGCGACACCGAGGCGGCCCTCGAGGCAGCGCCCGCCGCCCCCGGTCCCACCTCGGTCGCCCTCGAGGGTGCGGCGGGCATCGCCGAGGACCGGGGGCCACGACAGTGGGCAGCCCAGAGGGGCAGCACTGGCAAGGCTTCGGGTCGTGCGCAGGCAGCACCCCAGGCAGTCCTGGCTGGCCTCAACAGGCCCCCAGAGTGGTCCCAGCTGGCTTCAGCGGGCCCCCCAACTGGTCCTGTGCGGTCTCGACACCCTGGCGCCGGCGCTGGCGGCGCCCCGGGGGGTCCCCGCGTCCCAGGGTTGAGGTGTCGAGACCGCCCTGGACAACTCGGGGGGCCTGTTGAGGCCATCTGGGACCACGTACTCAGGGGGGCCTGCTGAGGCCAGCTGGGACTTCTCGAGGGAGCTGCGCGCAACCCGAAGCCTTCCGACGAGAAGGACAAGCAGGACGAGGAGGACGAGGAGGACGAGGAAAACGAGGAGGACGAGGTGGACGAGGAGGGCGAGGAGGACGAGGAGGACGAGGAAGACGAGGAGGACGAGGAGGACGAGGAGGACGAAAAGGCCGAGGAGGGCGAGGAGGACGAGGGTAACGAGGAGGACGAGGAGGGGCAGCGCTGCGCGCGCTTTCGCTGTCGAGCGGCAGGGGGCGACGGGGCGCCGTGGCCCCGCCGGGGTCGCGCGGCCCCGAGCGCCGCAGCCCCCCGTCGGAGAGGACGCCGAGGAGCCGGACGAGGAGGGGCCGCTGCAGGAGGGGAGCCGAGAGGAGGCCGACAAGGACAAGGCGGCCTTGCAGGATCCGGGGCGATCGAGGATTACTCGTGGGGGGGGTAGATGCCCGCCCTCTCCTCCTCCTCCTCCTCCCTCCTCCTCCTCCTCCTCCTCCCCCTCCTCTTCCTCCTCCCTCCTCCTCCTCCTCCTCCTCCTCCTCCTCCTCCCTCCCTCCTCCTCCTCCTCCTCCTCCTCCTCCTCCTCCTCCTCCTCCTTCTCCTCCTGCAGCTGTATGTCGGCCCCCTGGTTTCCAGGGCGTGGCCCCGCCGCCTCTCGGTGAGCCACCGGACGCGGTGCACGCTGCAGTAGGCTGCGCCTTGCGCTCACTGCAGTTCTTGTGCCAACACGCGTCAGCTTTTCTAGAGACTTTGGCCAGCACTGCCTGAGCCAACCACAAACACCAGTTCCAGCGCAAAGGTCGACGTCGTGTCGGCCCGCGGCGGCCCCGCCGCGGGCGGGGCGTTCCAGGTTGACCGCTCCCGGTGGCCCAGAATCGGCCAAGGCGGAGCGATTTGGCGATCGGAAGGCCGCCGATTGTTCCAGGTTGAACGGTCCTCCTCATCATCCTCCTGCTCCTCCCTCCTCCTCCTCCTGCTCCTCCCTCCTCCTCCTCCCTCCTCCTCCTCCTCCTCCTCTCCTCCTCCTCCTCCTCCTCCTCCTCCTCCTCCTCCTCCTCCTCCTCCTCCTCCTCCTCCTCCTCCTCATCCTCCTTGCAGCAGTTCCTGCACATGTTGAGCAGCAGTCGTTGTCGGTGTCGACGCGGGCGACGTCCATTTGAGAGAAGGCCGCGTGCCCATCAGCGGCAGCTGTGGGTTTGGGACAACAGCTGCTGTCCTGCATCGTACCCATTGTTCCGCACCTATTTCGGGCGTCCACCAGGATCTGTTTTGCTTCAACGCGCCCCAGCTGACGCAGGACATGACCGTCACTTGCGCGGAGTGGAATAGAAGCAACCAGGATTTGCTCGCAGTCTCGTACGGCGACACGTCCCCCGTGCCGAACGCCCAGGGCGGGTTCGTCCTCTTCTGGTCTCTGAAAAATCCCACCTATCCCGAGCGTGTCATCCGAACTCCGCACGGCGTGACCTCTCTGCATTTCTCCTCTGCGCATTCCAACATGATCGCGGCCGGCTGCCACGATGGCTCCGTGATGATCTGGGACCTGAGACAGGCGAGACAAGACCCGGTGCTGCGGAGCGGGTCGTCGGTCTCCACCAACAACAATCAAAAGCATACCGACATCGTTTGGGAGACTCGCTGGGTAGACCAGGGCCCAGACAAGCAGCCCCCCGAGCTGCTCGTGTCCGTCAGCAGCGACGGCTCTGGGCGGCCAGAAGCCCCCCTCTCGGCCCCCCAAAAGCCCAGGGAGCGACTGCGGGTAGTATATCTGCGGCGGGAGGGCGTTCGTGAATCGTTGTTGAATTCTCACTTCCGAAGAATAATTATTGTTGATCCCCCCTCACCGGTGCATATTCTTTTTTCTCTATCAAAGTGTGCCCCTCGACGCTCGCACCTTGTTTTTTGACAGGACAAGTCTTGGTGTTCAAACTGTGCCCCTGGCCCCCTGGATTACAGCAACAACAACAACAACAACAACAACAACAACAACAACAACGGCTCCCGCCTGAGACTTCCTCCAAATTTACTCAGGACCCCCGCTCTTGAGATTCCCTCACAACTTACTCAGGATCGGTGCTCCCGCCTGTGACTTCCTCGCAATTTGGTCAGGACCCCCCCTCCCATCTGAGACTTCCTCAGAATGTACTTAGGAACGGCGCTCCCGCTTGAGACTTGCTCGCAATTCAAGCAAGACTTCCTCGCAATTTAATCAAGACCCCCGCTTCCGCCAGAGAACCCTGCACATTTCATTCAGGAGTTGCGATCTCGCCTGTGACTTCCATGCAATGTATTCAGAAATCGCGTTTCGACGCTCAGGAAACACGCTGCGCCAAGGACGCCGTTACAAATTACTTAGTAATCGCGCTCTCGCCATACTCAGGCATCCTGCTTGAATGTCCCACCCGCCCGACCCGCCCGTCAGGGGATCGCTTGCCCGTCGTGGGCTCCCGCCCGAGACTTCATTCAGGAACGGCGCTTTCGCCTAGGACTTCCTCGAACGTTCACGCTCTTACCTTCCTGCTCCTCCTCCCTCTCCCTCCTCCCTCCTCTCCTCCCTTCTCTCTCCCTCCTCTCTTCCCTCATCCTTATGCCTCTCTGCCCCATCCCTTCTCCCTCCTTGTCCTCCTCCCTTCTCCCTCCCCTCTCCTGCCTCCTCCCTCCCTCTTTATGTTTGTTCTCTCTCTCTTTCTCTCTCTTATCTCTCTCTCTCTCTCTTTCTCAACCTCTCTTATCTCTCTTTTATCTCTCTCCTCTCTCTGCCTCAACCGCTCCCCTCTTCGCTCCCTCTCTCCTTGCGTTTTCCCTCTTCCTTCGTCCCTTCCCCTCCCTTCCTCCCACTCTCCCTCGTTCTCCCCCTCCTCTTTTTGCAGGGGCCACACGAATTCCAATGGTGGCACATGTACGCCCACGAAGGATTGTCCGCCCGTTCAGGTTTGCCCGCCTGTCTAAGCCCGCCGCCCCCCGCAAAGAGAAAGAATCCCCCTAAGGGGTTGTGATCGAAGACAAAAAGGGCGGGTATCGAGGGTGTGGGGAACCCGTTTCGAATGATACGCGGGCAAGTAAGAGCGCACAGTCTTAGAAGTATTATTGTTGTTGTTGGTGGTGTTGTTGTTGTTGTTGTTGTTGGGCGAGGCCCTCGGGCACTCGTTGTCTTCGAACACGGAGGGTCCCTGTTCCAGTGCCCTACATATCCCCCTCTCGAAATCCAGCGCAAGTTTTTTCCCTCCGACGCGACGGCGCCCTTCGGACCCCAAGATGTCACTGTTCGTGCCGAGGGTGGCGACCGCAGACACAACGTGATGGACCCACGAACCCGGAAAGGGATGTGGAACCGCATGCGTGGAAGCGCTTTCACGACACCGTATTGGGCGACGGGCACTTCCACGAGACACCCCGCGAAACATTCCACGAGACACGGGCGACCGTTTTCAGCGTCTTCCCGGAGACATTCCGCGAGGCACCCCGCGAACTGGTCCACGAGACACCCCATGAAACACTCCACGACGACAGGCAACCACTCAACCAAAGCGGTGTGGTCCTGCTGGGGAGTGGTCGTGCTGGGGTGTGGTCGTGCTGGGGGGTGGTCGTGCTGGGGGGTGGTCGTGCTGGGTGGGTAGTCGTGCTGGGGCGTGGTCGTGCTGGGGCGTGGTCGTGCTGGGGCGTGGTCGTGCTGGGGCGTGGTCGTGCTGTGGTGAGGTCGTGCTGGGGTGTGGTCGTGCTGGGTAATGGTCTTGCTGGGGTGGGGTCGTGCTGGGGTGGGGTAATGCTGGGGTGTGGTCGTGCTGGGGTTTGGTCGTGCTGGGGTGGGGTCGTGCTGGGGTGGGGTCGTGCTGGGGTGTGGTCGTGCTGGGGTGTGGTCGTGCTGCGCGCGGGGCGCTTTTCCGCGTCGCGGTCGGCTCTGCAAAACCAGCGTTTCGCTCGAGATATCCTCAACAAATTCTGAAAAGCAAGCATTTCGCTCGAGACATCCTCAAATTTCAATCCGCTGGCCCACCTCGACCTCGATATTTATCAGGGAAAGAATCCGCCGGCCCACCTCAGTTGAGGCACCTGGGACAGATTACCATCCTGAAAGAGAACCCTGGGCCTGCGCCCTTTCCGGGAAAAATCTGACCCCATGAGCCGCGTTTCGCGCGTCGACTAACAGTAGAAATTTGCATTTGATATCGAGGAGGGTTGTAGCAGATAGGGCAGGGATGTCCCCCTAAGAGTCAAGGAGCTCCGGCCCCAGCGAGACTCTGGACGCACTGACTTCGGGGCCCCTAATCCAACACCTCTGCCGCACCGAAGATGACGTTTGAATGGGAAGGCTTCTGGGAAGGAGGTCCGTGACGAAAGTCGGGGGGGGCGTTCAGGCTCAGTTCTGCAGTGGTCGATGAAGAAGGGGCTCGAGCAGCAGGCGCTAATGCAGCTGAAGCGGGTGCAGAACCCGTTCTTAGGCTGCAACGCCGTGTACGGGCACAAGGAGGGCATCGTGTTTCGGAAAAGCAGTGGCTTCTGTGTCGATTTCCCGCGGCACGACCCCTCCACGTACCTCGTGGGGACGGAAGACGGGCTGGTTCACAAGTGCTCTACATCTTATGGAGAGCAGTACCTCGACACCTACTACGGTCACTCTGGCCCGGTGTACAAAGTACGATGCAACCCATTCATGTCCCATGCCTTCCTGACCTGCTCCGCAGACTGGACCATGAAGCTCTGGACCACCAGGCCCATCCAGGGGCACCAGCCCGAAACCCCGCTGATGAACTTCCAGTCTACCGATTTGTCCGATGCTGTCAACGACGTGATCTGGGCTCCGCAGGACTCCACGTCCTTCGCCGCGGCCATGGACGATGGCCGTGTGGAGCTCTGGGACTTGTCCGACACGCAGCTGGACCCGATCGTTGTTCACTACCCGCAGGGCATACAAAACCGGAGGCGGAGGACGTGCGTGCGCTTCTCTCCGAACTCCCCCGTGCTGATCGCGGGTGACGACAAAGGCGCGGGGAGAACACTTGCCATGGTGAGGCCTCGGGCTGCGCACCAACAGCCCCCCCCAGGCAGCCCCGGCGGGCCCCAACAGGCCCCCTGGAGGAGAAGGAGGAGGAGGAGGAGGAGGAGGAGGAGGAGGAGTGGGGGAGGGGGAGGAGGAGGAGGAGGGGGAGGGGGAGGGGAGGGGGGGGGGGAGGGGGAGGGGGAGGGGGGAGGAGGAGGAGGAGGAGGAGGAGGAGGAGGAGGAGAGGAGGAGGAGGAGGAGGATGAGGAGGAGGAGGAGGAGGGAGGAGGAGGAGGAGGAGGAGGAGTGGGAGGAGTGGGAGGAGGAGGGCAGGCCAGGGCGGTCTCTCCACACCTCGGTGCCGCCTCCGGCGGCGCCCCGGGGGACGCTCCCCGCGCCCCAGGGCCGAGGTGCCGGGACCTTTCCGGGACTGCTCGGGGAGCCTGCTGCGGCCAGTTAAGAGCAGCACTCGCGGGGGGGGCCTGCTGAGGCCCACGAGGGGATCTACCTCGGGGGCCCTCTCCGTGCGCAGCCCGAAGCCTTGCCAAGGGGGAGCATCACACAACGCGAGCGCGACTGAGGCGTCGAGACCACTCCAGAGTGCTCGGGGAGCCAGTCGAGGCCAGTTGTCGGGGGGGCCTGTTGAGGCCAACGGGGATCTACCTCGGGGGCTCTCCGTGCGCAACCCGAAGCCTTACCAGGGGCGACTTCCCGTCTGCCGTCGTCGTCGTCGTCGATCGTCGAGCGTCGATCGTCTCTGCCGGGAACGCGGCTGCGGCAGGGTCGCGCCGTTTGTCGACACGGCGGCGGCCCCGGCGCGGGCGTTTTCAAGGTTGAGAGCACCGCCGGCGGCCTGGGCTCGAGCTCTCTCTCTCTCTCTCTCACTCGAACGATCTGCGCTGTCGGGAAGCCGCGATGCTGTTAAGCTTGAACGATCTCAGGCGATCGCAAGCATGGATCAAAGACGGGTGCAAAAGGCTTGCCATGGAGTGGAGAAGAAGGGTCCGAAACCTGGACTTCCGACGATATGGCTTTTCCCCAATCGCGTCTCGCTAGAACGTTCTGATTGTGGTAGAGATGTCCACAGAACAGTCCCACACCTCTCTCTCTCTGTCTCTCTCTCTCTCTCTCTCGAACGATTTGCTTTGTCGGGCAGCCGCGATTCTTTCAAGTTTGAACGATCTCAGGCGATCGCATCCATGGATCAAGTGGGCGTGGATTAGCGACTGGTCCCGTTTCCATGGGAAATCGCGGCTTTCCGCTGCCGAGCGAGGCGTCACCGGCCGCATTTTGCGGGGGCACCTCCCCGACTCCATGAATTTGGCGACCGCGCGCCAAATCCATGAATCGCTAATCCATGTTTGCGCGCCCCCGACGATCCACGAGGTGTCATAAAGCAACGTCCGCGTCGACAGGGCGTGAAATCAAGATGATGTGGCGCCTTCTCTTCTCCTGTTCCCCGCTCTCACGGTTTCAAAACTGCATGCCCATCGGACCGCCATTGCAAGGAAGTGTAGACGTGATGCGCATGTACAATACGAACCAGTCCTATTACTCCGACCAGGAGCAGCAGGATAGATTGAATAGCGTAATGATGAAGAAGCGATGAGTCGCTTGGCCGCTGCCGCCGGATGCCCGTTTGCATCCCGGGCTCAGCTTTCCGACTGCGCGCTGCAAAAATCATCCAGGTGTCTCGGCTGCGCGTCAGAGTGACCCTTTGCCAGAGTGACTTCTGGTGCGGGCCCACAGGAGTTCCTCCAGCGCTGGCTTGCGCACTCGGAGTTGCCCCCCCGCCCCGCCGCCCCCTGAAGCCACGCATCCGAGGTCACTCTTGCGTAGGGTCATTCTTGCGTGTAACCGACAGTGGTTGTCTCCTCTTCACGCGTTGATTATTTCTTGGATTTCCTGTCGTGGTATTGTTATGTTAGCTCATGGGGGGACGTCGATGCCAAAACTTATTTCGGGGACAGCGGGAGGCGTTGCTTGAGCCCTTATTGTTGATGCTGGCGATTGCAGTCGTTCGCGGCTGATTGATGGTGTTCGGCATTGTTTGCTGTTAATTGGTGCTTCGCGTTTTTGCTTGCTGCTGCGTACTGCTGATTCTGGCTTTCATGTCCACACTCTTTCTCCTCTTCCACTTCACCCTTTTCCTCATCTTCTTCGCTCCGCATCCTCAGTGCTCCTTCTCACGAATCCTCTTTGCTCATCGCCCATTGTCCACCACGCTCCTCTTCTGCGCGTTTCTTCTTCTTCCTCATAAGTTTTGTCAGTCCTCCTCATCATCGTTCCTTCTCCTCCTCCTCCTTCTTGCCATTCGGGGGCACATAGATTACGCGGGCCTGCCGTAGCGTCAACCCGTGTGGCAGTTTGAACCCGCCTGGCCGTTTTAATCCAGCTCTGCGTTGGATATCCTTGAGCCTTCTGTGGCCACCTTAGAAACAGTTTGGAACCAGAGATCCATGCTTAAGATACTAAAAATTTCAATGGTAGCCAGCGTGAACCCCAAACAGCTATTTCTGTCGATCTATACGGCGCAATCGTGATGTGCAATCAGTGTGGTGTCATGTATGTGGCGCAATGCAATGCAAAGCAATGTGATGCGAAGCAAGGCAATGCAAAGCAGTGCAAGTCAATGCAACGCGACGATAGGCAATCCAAAGCGATGTAATGCCGCCCAAAGCAGTGCGAAGCTTGCGATGCGAACGGGGGAGTACGATGAGATAAGACCAGTCGCGAAGCGAGTTCGAAGTATATTGAGACGAGGACCTGGCCACCTTCTCAGCCTGGCTGAGAACTCTGGGCATGAGGTCTCTGGAAATCCGACCGATCGATTCCCAACGAGGCCTGGTTAAAAGGCGGGTTGCACATTCTTGGGCTAGGTTCCGTAGATGCTGTTGGCCATAGCACCCGCAGGACCCGCGAAATTTGGCCATAGCACCCGCAGGACTCGCGAAACCGAAGGGCCAGGGACTAGCCGTACGACATGATATGAGACGGCGGATGGACCCACCCCCCAGCGAGATGCAAACGCCGCCCTTGAGGAATTCTGAGGACATGGTCGGAACGTGATTCTGATCGGAATCCGTCTGAATTCCAGAATTCCGCTTTCACCGCCGCTGCCGCGGTAACCTGCCCGTGAGACATGTGTTGCCTCAACCTGCAAATCATGGACGGAGCAAAAAAGTGCCACCGTAGGAGGAGGAGGAGGAGGAGGAGGAGGAGGAGGAGGAGGAGGAGGAGGAGGAGGAGGAGGAGGAGGAGGAGGAGGGGGGAGAGGAGGAGGAGGAGGAGAGGAGGAGGAGGAGGAGGAGGAGGAGGAGGAGGGGGAGGAGGTGCGGTGTGGGAGGGGAGGCAGCAGCCCGAGCAGCACGAGGGCGGGCTTTCGTCCCTTCGCCAGCCGCCGCACCGAGCACTGCACACAACAACGCTTGTCTGATGCCACGAGCCTCGTGTCCGATTTGCGGCACTCGGGTTCCCTGAGCTTCGGCCACTCGAGCACCAGCAGCGGCAACTCCCGCCAGGTGGTCGACAGAGACGCTGCCAGCTATGAGCCAGCCAACAGGACCTCATTCAAAATGGCCTCGTCGCCCAAAACATGAGACAGCATTGTGATAAGAGCGACACACCTGGAATGCTTGCCTTGTTCCCGGATGGGTGCCCCGATCTGCTGCCACAAGTCAAAGCCAACACCAGTGGGCTCGAGAAACAACCTGGCCCACCAGCCTCGACACACATGGTCGTTGCCGGTAACGATTAAATTCGGCCTGGCCCTCTGCGGGAGGAATGTTCAAAAACAGTCACAAGATTGTCTGGGGACGATTGTTGACTATTTTCGACTATTTCTGATTATGTTTTGCGTATTTGTTATTTTTCGTGCACCCGTGCAACCCATGGATGCCTACCAGGGGGGCATGCAGCGCCCCATGAGGGACAGCCTGCCTGACACTGACACTGAGCGAGGGCCCCACAAGAAACTGCGAGTGCTCACTCGCAGGGCTCGGGGCCGACTGCTGACGCTGCGAACCCTACCCGACGAAAACGAGGAACATGCGCGGGATGTGTTCTAAAATGTTGTTTCATAGTTTCTTTTCTAAATAGCCATCCACGACCATCGGGGCCCCCCCCCCAAAAAAAAAACACGAAACCGACAAGTGTGCGGGGAATGGGCGCCCGAGCGATGGCGAGGGGTGCGCCGGGAGGGGGAGGGGGGGGGGGGGGCTGCAGCGGGGCGGCGGCGACAGGCGGGAGCGGGCCCGCCCGGCCCGCAGCTGGGCTCAGGTCCTTAGAATTGGGCCTCAAGGGTTAAGTCGGGCCTGTCCCCCATACCCCAGAAAATATTCAAAAATGGCCACGGAATATTCAAAACATAGTCCCCGTATTATTTTTTGGCTATTGCGAAGGCCTTACGGCCGATGCTGCCGACCCTGGAGACAGCGTTCTGTCACTGGGGAGAAATAACAACGCAACAGGAAGAATGCTCAGTGTGGGAGAAGCGCATTGCCGACGAGGGGGAGGGTGAGAGGCCCAAGAAAACACACGGGAGCCTCTTGGGGCCTCTTTGGGCTTCCTGGGGGGCCTCTTGGGAGCTTCTCGGGGCTGAGGGCTCGAAATGTCCGTTCGGGTTCCCCGTCTGGGCACTCTCTTGGAACCGTTTTGGGGGCCTTTTGTGCATCTGGGAGGCGTCTTGGGCCGTCTTGAGGCACTTTGGGGCCGTTTGGGGACCCTCTTGGAGACCTCTTGGGCCGTGTCGGGGCGATCTTGGTAGCCTCTTGGGCCGTCTTGGCGCGTGGGGTCCCCGTCTTATTGTTTGGCTATGTTTGAATATTCCTCCTGTAGAGGGACAGTCCCGACTTAACTCAAGGGACGGGGGTCAGTGCAAACGGGGGTCAGTCAGAGCGCCAGATCTTGCAGGATCCTGCAGAGCCAGGGGTGCACGGACCCAGCCTTGCGCGCAGGATCCCTGCAGGATTTTGCGGGGTGGTGCGAAGCTCGATTGGCCCGGGTGTGCACCGACCCGGGCCAGTGCGTCCTCGACAGAAGATAAGCAGGAGCTTTTGAGTACAAGCACTAGTTGGGGAAGTCTCCGTTTTGGGAAGACGTCTCACGCAGCACTGTCATTATCGGAGTCCCGTCGAGGAGTTCCAGACCATCGTGAAGGCCCTCGTTGGATCTTCTTGCGCCACCTTAGGCCTTTATCGGAAGCTCCTTCGAAGTTTCCATTCTGGAAGCGATGTATCACGCGCAGAGGTCGTTATGAGAGCATCGAGAAGGCTCCTTATGGGGCCACGAAACGTGTGAGGGGCGTGACGAAATTGAAGGAGGGAGGGGGGGCAGAGGGGTGAGAAGTGAACGCGGGGCGCTGTCTCTTCAAAACGAGGACCCAACTCCACAGGACGGATGGGACCAAGAATGTGAAGGGGTGGGTGCAGGGGGAAGTGGGACGGGCGACGGGGGGGGGCGGAGGAGGTGGAGTGATACGATCAAACGGTGGAGGAACGGGAATGGCGGGAAGAGCAGGACCGTGCGGCGGAGCAGAACAACAGGGATAGTGAGGACAAGGACGGGTTTGAATTTCGCGCATGCCATTGTTTATGCTTCATACTACCGCTGGCAGCTGGGCATAAAAGCCGACAGGTGCGCTCAGCTCAGCGCCTGCGTGTGTTGCAAGTTGGATGGGGGCTTGCACCGGGGAAACGTAAGACTCGAGTACGCCGAGACTCGGGTTTGCCAACGTTTTTTGACGAGCGCGTCCTGGATTTTGACGGTCCGGTTTTCGTGGGATTTCTGCAGCGGGAGCTCGCGTCAGATTTCAGATTCTCGTCATCGATGCCCCCGTCAGGGTAACCCGAATCCCCCGAACCCGAGTCTTACGTCTCCCCGAGAGTGGGCTGGAGGAGGAGGAGGAGGAGGAGGAGGAGGAGGAGGAGGAGGAGGAGGAGGAGGAGGAGGAGGAGGAGGAGGAGGAGGAGGAGGGGGGGGGCGGAGGGGGGAGGAGGAGGAGGAGGAGGAGGAGGAGGAGGAGGAGGAGGAGGAGGAGGAGGAGGAGGAGGAGCGAGGAGGAGGAGGGATCCACCAACCAGGAGAGCCAGCAACCAGTTCGTGCCTCTGCCCGCCCCCGCGGGGGCGGCCGCGAAGCAGGCGGCCTCTCGCCTCGCGGGCGGGGCTGTCCAGGGGCGAGGGCAAGAGTCAGGAGGGGAAAAAACTCACAGACACAATTAATCGTCGACTCCAGGAAAAATATTGGAACATATTGGAATTGTGGGGGGAGACAAGACCCAGAAAATATAGGAAAAAATAGGGGGAATACTTTTGTTTGTGTGTGTGTTTATTTGTGTGTCCAGGGGCGAGGGCAAGAAGGACAGAAGCCAGAGGGTGGGGTGCAATGGGGAGATCGACTACAGTGGAAGCGCATGCCAGGAAACACCCTGCTTGCCTCCAGGGTGCCCTGGGTTTCTTGGGCCTCGATGGTTTTGCCATGGAGGGCATGACGCTCCCACACCAAAAATCAAGGGACGTCCTGGGGTCTCAGGGTTGGGTTTCTTGTGGAAGATTTCTTGTGGACTGGCCTCCACTGTATGCGTAAGAGTGGCCCTCGCCTGAGCGACCCTTGGTAGAGGAACGAACAATGACATAAACACAAAGACTCGGAGGTCCGCGCGGATTTCTCGGATCGGCACTGGTCCTCCCTCCTTGGCGCGCGGAGCGCACCAGGGGCGGCGCCGGAGGCGCCGCCAGGGGTCTCCAGCGCCGATCCGACAAATCCGCGCGGACCTCCGAGCTTTTATGTTTATGTCATTGTTCGCTCTCCTGTTCTCTATGTGTCATTTATTAATTGTTCATCGTTCCCTCTGGGTTATTCCTTGGAAGAAAGGGGCTTCGTTCCTTATTCATCGTTCCTTAGGTTACGCCGATAACTGTATACGTAAGAGTGACCCTTCGCCGGAGTACCTTTGGTGCGGGCTCCTCGGGGTCCCCCCGCTCGCCGGGCGCAGTGCGATACAGCGGCCTCGCCTGCGCGCTTGGATTCTTGGCCCCCCGTGGCGCCCCGCGGCGCCGCGCACCGGCTGTCACTCTTGCCGGGGGTCACCCCTGCGTGTAGCTCCGAGGAGAGAGGATCTAGGCCTCCTAGACTCGACTGCACGTAAGAGTGACCCTTCGCCGGAGTGACCTTTGGTGCGGGCCCATTGGGGTCCCCGATCGCCGAACGCGAGGCGGCAGTGGCGTCTTGCGCGCTTATGTTTGACCCACCCGCGGCCCCCAAAAAGTCGCACACCAAAGGTCACTCTTACCCAGGGTCACTCTTGCGTGCAGCCGACCCTTGCGTGTAGCTCCGAGGAGAGAGGATCTAGGCCTCATAGCTGGGCTCCGAGTAGATGGGGCCGGGGGGATCCCGCCGCATCGCCGATACATCGGCGATGCGGCTCGGCGTGGAGCCCGTGCTTCCCCACGCCGACGTCGCCGACGCATCGGCGATGCGGCGGGATCTCCCGACTCCATCTACTCGGACCCCATCTACAAGCCTCGTCAAAAATAAACAGAAACGCAGTTGGGAATCACGACGATCGATCTTCTCGGGCACTTGTTAGAAACTGCGTTCTTCAATGCTGCGGAGGGGTCGTCGGATTTTTGAAGCCCTTGCGTCCACGTCTGATATCTTGCGTCAGCATTGGAGTAGCGCTGACCACACAATCACCGAAAACAGAATCCCTCAGCTTATTTTTGACGAGGGTTGTAGGAGGCCTCTAGAGGAGCAACAGCAGCACGAGAAGCACGAGGACCAGGATGCCGTCGATTACGACGCCGACGACGAGCACGGCGGCGACGACGGCGAAGATCAAAAGACCTCCGGCGCCACGAGCTGCTCGCGGCTCGCGGCGTGGGCCCCGGGAGAGCTCTCGAAAGCCCTTCCCCGAGGCCGGCTTTCGGTCAGGACAGTGTGTTTCCCAGCCGTCCTGTGGTGTTGGGCCTTCGTTTTTGGAGAGACGGTGCCCCGCGTCCTCCTCCTCCTCCTCCTCCTCCTCCTCCTCCTCCTCCTCTTCCTCCTCCTCCTCCTCCTCCTCCTCCGCCTCCTCCCTCCTCTCATCACCATCATCATCATCACCACCATCATCATCATCATCGACATCATCGACGTCATCATATCACCACCATCATCATCATCGTCATCCTAATTACCCA